GAAGAGTTAGGGTTTCTGGGTTTGGATTTGAGATGGGCTGTGAAGCATTTAGGGTTAGGGTTTCTGGGTTTTAACCCTTTATGTAAGTATAAGTACTGATGTTCTATTGCGGTTTAAATTCTGAATGAAAGTTCGATTTATCCAACTGATCCATTTCTTTGTAAGTGATTACCCAGTTGATTAATTTCTTCAATTTGATATATTACATGTGATTCTTGTTGCGATATGAACTAGTGTGGTCAATAAATTAGAGGTTTTGCAGTGAATTTTCTACCATATACTTACTAAATTTGCAACAAAACTGGGGAAGTAACATCTCAAATTATTGAAAGATTGCACTCATAAGTGGAGCCTAAATGCATTTTAAATAAACCATCAGATAAAATACCATCACCAGTATTCAAACCATTCTTAAACAAATTATTGAACTGCCAAAGCAAATCATAAAATTACAAAATAACTATTTAGACCATCTCCAACTGAACGAAGGTCAGATGGCTCGTTTTAGCCTTCTGATCTTCTAAAATATTAACATTTTAATGAATAGTATATTATCATATTTGCCTCTATCTCTAACCAATGATCATATGGCTCGTTTTAGCCTTGTCACAAAAAATCATCTCCAAACGAGGATCATAGGGGCAAATATAATTTATTATTTAAATTTAAAAACTACAACAACTTAAATTTAAAAACAACAACTTATATTTAAAAACTACAAATTAAATTTAAAAACAACATTAACTTAAATTTAAAACTACAATGAGAATTTTTAAGAATTTTTTTTTTTAAATTTGGCCCAAAAAAAAAACAACGGTAACTAACGGCTAGCTGACTAGCTGACGTCAGCTAGCCGTTGCATTTGAAATTTGGCTTAGAATTCTTATCAGATATAACCGATAGGAATATATTTATATTCAATATAATTGATTAAATATATTCCTGTCAATTATATCCGACATGATTGGTGAAATTTCTGGCCAGCTCGGGGCTAGCTGGTTGGCTGGATTGGGCCAGCCCTTTGGCCCTTTTAGATTTCGTGGGGCCCACGAGCCCTCTAGCCTAGCCCTCGGTTGGAGGCAGTTTTTTGGCAATTTTTAGCCTTCAGGCCTTCTAAACCTTTCGCTTGGAGATGGTCTTATAGCAGGCATGAAAAGGCTAAATGAAAATATGTTATTTTTATACATATGTTTCTAAAGCACTTCCCTAAGTTTTAATTTTTGAAATACATTTACCTCAACTGGACCTGGGTTTTTGGTGCATACAAGTATTTTTGTTGGAAATATAAAATAACTAATGGAATGTTTAGAGTAGCCCAATTTTTAGTTTGGTAACCACACATGACGTCAAGAGTCATGATGATATTACTGAGGAACGTCTTTATCAAAATATTTTTGCTTCTCATTTCAGGCAATTGGCAATAATTTTTCTATTGGTTTGCAACAAAATATTTCTTTCATAATTTGATCTCGAGTTACATGCTTCTATTTTTGTGTCATTTCTTCTTCCTTGTTTCACTAACTTTGAAACTGAAATTAAATTTCTAGAGAAAGACGAAACATAAAAAACATTTTTCAAATTTAAATAGAAACGAGATCCTAATGTTATTTTAAAAGTCCTCACTGCTTTAATACTGGAACATATTCGATTTCCTAAGTAGATAAATTGCTCATTGCCTCTCGACTTTTTGTGATTTTAAGAACCCCTGCATGAAATTGGTAATGTGAATTGAACCATCTAAGTTAATTCACTATGTATTACTAGGATCAAGATTTATGACACACATAAGCAAAGAGTACCTTTCTTTTCCAACCATTTCTTGAACTTGGCACATTCTTTCTTTTTATTGCAGAAGCAGCATGCATCCTTGTCGGCAAAACTCTTCATTGGTTTCTTTCCGGTCACCCTAAGACAACGTTTGCTTTTCTTGGCACATTGCTCCTCGGTAGTTCCTCTTGAACACACATGGTCAAAAAGTTCATTGGAGGACCACTTTTCCTTATGTGTGTTATAGGAAATCTTGAATAGTCCATACTCAAAGGGAGATAACTGAGAATGAAACTGAACAAGAATGACTTAGAAATCTCTATCTTCAAGGAGTTAAGTTGAGTTGCAGTGTCCCCCATTTCCATAATGTGCTCACACACACTTTTGGATTTTTCGTGCTTCATGCCCGAAAGTGTGCTAGTAACTGCCTTTATTAGATTTCACAAAATGTTCCTCAATTGCTTTCATGAAATATGTCACCTTATCACATTCTAAGATTGAACCTTGTATGCTCTTTCTTGCTCACACTAGATTTGTGAGCATCAAACTTAAAGAGTTTAGATTGCTTCCACCGGTTATACGCAACCTTGACTTCTTGAGTGCCTGATTCTGTGTTAGCACTATCACCTCCAAAATGCACATAAGAATTTAATTAGCACCCAATAAATAAATTAAAATTTTAATTTACAGTTGTGTTGGGTATAATGATCGGAAATTTCAGTTATAATAGTAAAATTTGACTATGACTAACTGGAATTAGGACAAAGTATTTTTGTCTAAGAGTAAATTGTAGCAATGACCCCTCAACTTTAATCAAATTGGAGCAATGGTCCATAAACTAAAAATCCATTACCATTGGTCCCTCAACTTATCAAAATGTGTAGCTATAGTTATTTTCATCAATTTCGTCAAAATTTTGTCAAAATAAGTTATGTTGGAATGACCATTTATACAATTAGGGTCCCTCAACTCATCAAAGTGTGTAATTATGGTCATTTTCGTCAACTACGTCAAATTTTTTGTCAAAATGAATTATGTTAGAAAGACCATTGCTATAATTAGGTTAAAGTTAAAGGACAATTTCTCAAGTTGAATTAAATTTGAGGGACCAATGGTAATGAATTTTTAGTTGAGGGACCATAACTGCATGTTTTGATGAGTTGAGAGACCAGTGGTAATGGATTTTTAATTGATGGACCATTACTTCAATTAAGTTAAAGTTAAGGGACCATAGCTACACTTTACTGTTTGTCTAAATAAAACAAAAGGGCAGTCACAAATTTCTGAGTTACATGGTGGGCTTTTGTCAAACACTTTTCTGGGTCCCACAAGTTGTCTCCGGGCCAACCTTAACCAACTATAAAGGCCCATCTGAAATAAACAGATTAATGTGATTTGCCACCTGTTATTAATATTAATAATGGAATAATAAATAAATTGGGTCCATAGCTCAGTGGTAGAGCATTTGACTGCAGATCAAGAGGTCACCGGTTCGAACCCGGTTGGGCCCTTGTATGTATTTTTGTTTTCTCGGTGTAAATCCAACTCCCTAAACCAATACTTATCACATGAAAATATGGTCTAACTAATTATCATATTAATTCTTCCAATATTGAAAAGAATATTTTCTCCCCTTTCATTTTTGTAAAACGTATATAAAACATCCAATGAAAAATTCCATCATTTTTGTAAAACGTATATAAAGATCCAATGAAAAATTCCATCATGTCTAATATTCAAAGAAACTATGTATTTCAATAAAAAAAAAAACGAAAGAATGAAAGGAAACTATGTATTCATCCCATAGGAAGGAATTTAGACCCTTTATGGATCTTGTAATCTGAAATTGATAGACCGAGAAATTCAGACCGTTTAAGAGTCGGATAGAGAGATTTGGACCCATGATTTGGGTAAGATGGATGATTAGAATGAGCTAATGGGGATAGTAGGGTTTCAAAATGAATGATCCATATTTCTCAACTCGTTGCATTCGAATTGTAAAATCTAGAGAGGATCTTGATTCCCTGAAAAGGCAGACACCTCAATAAAAGAAAACTTTTGTTTAGTAATAAGAGAAAATAGTACAAAGTTTAAAAATAAGATAAAATAGCTTTGGGGAAAAAAGGGAAAAAGAAAAAATGGCAACCATCCAACCACTAAAAACCAAAAATCAAAGTTGGACATCTAGTCTTAGAAAATTTAATGGAAATTTTAATGAAATACTCTTGGTATTGTTCATTTTTTAACGAAAATGACATTTTTACTCTAAAAAGTCACTCCCGGTACTATTCGCTTACAACACTTTTTTGTCATTTTGATTAAAACTAAAAAATTTCAAGCCTTTTTTATTTATTCTTATTTTCGAAGTTTAGAGTTTATTAATCCGCACCTCACTTATATAAAAAGTGATCTCATATGAGGGATACAATCAAGACTCGATCTTCCATGATCTATTCGAGTATGCCAAATTAACTAGTACAATTGCAATGCAATAAAAAATAGGGAACTTTAATGAAAAGCACCCGGTACTGTTCAATTTAACGAAAAACCACATTTTTACACTAAAAAGTCAATCCTAGTACTATTCACTTTACCCTTTATTTGGTCCTTATCATTAAAACTAAAAGTTTTCAAGACCTTTTCATTAGTTTTCCTTAAAAAATATATAATTTTCACAATGCCCATGATAACCTGTTTCTAATCTCACGTTTTCTCTTGGAACTTAAATTTCACCATTTATTTGATGTAATTGACAAAAAATTGACAAAGTGAGACGAAAATTGAGTTCACTCAATTAAATGAGAATTTAATTTATAGGAAAAGTAATATTAGAATTGAGCCTTTGCAAAAACTGCAAAAAAAAAAAAAAAACTCTAAAAAACGTAAGCTTCGTGTGATTAACTGGCTAAATTTGAGTTTTACAATAACAAAGTAAGATTAGAATCGAATTACAGCAGCTAAGTTTGAGTTTTACAATAACAAAGTGAGATTAGAATCGAATTACAGCGGTATTGCAAAAAATAAACCATAACAAGTCCTAAAACAAAGTAAACACCAGGTGAAAAACAAAGAACCAAAAACAAAAGTGGCTTCGCCCGGGTTCGAACCGGAGACCTTCAGTGTGTTAGACTGACGTGATAACCAACTACACCACGAAACCTTGACGCTGAGGGTTTGCTTTTTAAAATATAAAACCACGAAAGCAAATGACCTTATATAAATGAATCATTCTTTCGCAGGGTTCTTCCTCCGACTCTCTCTCATCATTTTCGGTCCGTCACTTCAAATTCCCACCGCCACTAGAAACCCTAACCCTCTCTCTCTCTCTCTCCACTTTCTCGCTCCGAGGGTTTCGTTTCTTCCCCTAGTCAAACAAGATGCAGGACCCTCTAAGCATGTCCCTGGACGACCTCATCAAGACCAGCAAGAAATCGGGATCCGGGAACGCCCGAGGCCGCGGCGGCCGGGGGACCTCCGGACCCGGACCCGCCCGCCGCTTGCCGAATCGCGGCGCCAATCGCGCGACGCCGTACGTGGCTGCGGCCAAGGTAGAAGCAAATCTCTGGCTTTGGCTCTGATCTGATCTTTTCTCCAGTTGAAATTGAATTGAGTTAATAATAAATTTTGGGGATTTAGGCGCCGGAGACTGCGTGGCAACACGACATGTATGGGGATCTTGGTGCGGTGGCGTACGCGGCTCCAGCTGGGAGAGCATCGGCTATCGAAACCGGAACCAAGCTCTACATCTCCAATCTCGATTATGGCGTTTCCAACGAGGACATTAAGGTGAATTTCCCTGTTCTTTCAAAATTCTATATAAAAGCTGGACTTGTTTCTTAAGAGGGTGGGGTTTCGTTTGTGATTTATGATCAATCAAAATTAGGGGTATTTGGATATTGGATTTAGAACTAAATGTTTTGAATTTGGATTCTTCTTATAAATTATTTTATTAGATTGGAGTTTTTATGTTAGCCGAATAAATGTTAAACTAATCGGCTAATCCACATGTAATTAAGATACGGTTGATAAGTCTGCGGAACATCGAAAATCCCTTTAATGCCTTTATTGAACAGTCTTTGCAAATAACAGAGACTTTGAATCCACATTTGTTGCTACAATTTGTGTTTTCTAAAGTCAAATTATTATGCCAGGAATTGTTTTCTGAGGTTGGTGACCTGAAACGTTATGGAGTACATTATGACAGAAGCGGGAGATCAAAGGTACCTTGTCAAGTTTTGCATTGTTGGTCCTTCTGGAGAATTCTTTGTGTCCTGCTGTAGTTTAATACAAAGCTCTTTTTCATAGGGAACGGCAGACGTAGTTTTCTCACGACGAACGGATGCTGCGGCGGCTGTTAAAAGATACAACAATGTTCAGCTTGATGGGAAGCCGATGAAGATTGAGATTGTAGGAACAAACATTGGGACACCTGGAGCCCCACCTGCTTTCCCCCCTGCTGCTAATGGAAATTTTGGAAATCGGAATGGACTACCCATGGGGTATGTTGTGTACCATACATTTCACTTTAGAATTAGCTCTCATTGATGTTTGTGCTTATACATTTTTTTCCGCTTTTTAGTAAATGACTTGAAGGAATAAGAGGTTATTTTGATTTTTGATTGCTATAAGAAGCTCTTGGCTTTTGTTCTAGGCATTAGTTAATCTTTCTAGCCAACATTTGTCTGGAATAAGAATGCATCAAGGTGCAAGTTTTGTTTTTGCAAATGCTGGATGCTGTTGTGCCTATTACGATTTTGCATTATTGGCTTGGGTTTATTATGGGCTGTTTTCCGGGCCATATGTAGAGTCTATGGTTTTATTGTAGAGGGAAAACCTAGAAGTTGTAGTCTTTAAAATCTTTAAACATGTTGTAACTGAAACTTCTAAACAAATAAGTAATCTTGAATTAATGACTTTGATACTTATTTATTTAGATTAAAATGTATTTGTATGATACTCAAACTGATGTTCCATCATGCCTCAGTTACCCCTTCGAATATAGCTGATGTTTTGTCTCATACATGTGTTTGAGTCATGAGATGTAGCAATTGGGAAGACTCGGCTTCTATTATTGTTGGATGTGCGTATTTATTATCTGTGCCATGTTTTAATTTATCTGAAGCTGATTGTGTATTTGTTGTGGCTGTTGAGCAGGGGACAGAGTAGGGGTGGTGCATTTGGACGTATACGTGGCGGCGGTGGTGGTGGCGGAGGTGGTGGTGGCGGCAGCCGTGGTGGCCGTGGTCCTAGAAGGGGCGGTGGTGGACGCGGAAGTGGAAGAGGCCGTGGTGAAAAGGACCAAAAGGTTTCCGCTGAAGATCTTGATGCCGAGCTAGAGAAGTACCATGCAGCAGCAGAATCAATGCAAGAGTAAAGTGAAATCAGCTGTATGAAGTGTTGGCTTTATTACATCTTTTATGGCTCATTAGGTGCTTGGTGATTTGACAACCTCATATATTTTCTGTATTTCTATCAAAACCCAATTTCCTTGAGAGAGAAATCATGCGTAGGAAGAACTTGTAGAATCTTGCTTAAGTAGTTTGGGCACTTATTATGTTTGTTTAGACATGGGTATGAGATATGTGGGTTAATAGACAGTTTCAGTACTTTGAACTGAACTCCCATCCATTAGCTTCTTCAATCCCTTTTCAACAAGTTGGTCTCTGTTTCTCCGCACACAAAGACAAAACTGGCTGCAGAACGTGTGAAAGGATTGAGCCTTAGAGAATTCACACACTGCTGCAATGAGTTTGGTTGGTTCTACTGCCTGTAAAATGGCGTACTTCGCATGAGGTAGATATCTCTGTTTTCCTTGGCTTTGAAATCTTGTTATTTATTTAAGTTTTGTCCTTTGTGTTTGGTGCAGTTGAGCTGGTTATATTTCCTGCTAATTTATGGTAGCGTTCTCTTATACCCCTGACCCAGAAATGATAATTTAATTGGCATTGATCCTGACATTATGCGTTTAGAGAAATTGTATGGACTAAGCAACTAGCCGGTTCTAGGTGTAGAACTGGTTACTGAAGTCATAACGATGATGTTCAGAGATCTGCGGTGCCTTCAGGCTTCCTAGTCCTGGAAGGAGTTCCAGATATGCCTGCCTTTTGACGGTCTTTATTCGGTGTCTGGGTAAAGACAGCGGGGGTGATTGTTAATTCTGATTGTATTCTGGGTCAGAGTTGATAGTTGCTGCTTTGATTGTGAATATTACCCTTTTGTTGCCTATATCAGTAGATTGCATTGGGGCATGGTTCTATCTTTCCATGGTTGGTTTTCCGTATGCACACTATTGAATACGGCTGGTTTTCCGTCCCAAGTGACTGGATTAAACTTGTTGAGTTTCTGAGATTAGAATTTTTACTTTCTGCTATGTGAACTTATGTACGTCTTTATGTTTTGATGTTGGAATTCACATAGCTACGTTTCAACTGAGATGACTTGTGTTTTCGCTGTTTGATTCGTTTGTCTCGATAGTTGAGTAGAAATAGGATGCTAGAGAGAAGGTTATCTATCTCTATCTCTCTCATCACGTGATTAATTATGTGATCCACGGTGATAGTATGGAACAAGAGATAAGGTTATCTCGTATTAGAGGAAAACACAATACCCTAGTCGGGCAAAAACTTTGCTAATACCCTACCTTCGCAATCCAGTCTTGTTAATCTAGCTATCCATGTATGTTTCTAGTGCGGCGTATGGGTTGGGAAACACTGCTAATTCATCTAAGGGTGGCACGAGCCGGTTTGGCTGGTTCCGGTCCTAAGTCACCGACTGAACTACGGGTGCCTTACTGGTTCAGGCAGGATTGGACTGGTAAATGGCATCCAAGCCAAACTGTTTGGTTTTGTATCGGCAATGAGACAATGCCCTATATTCAGTACCAAACATAATGAACTTGATAGCCGTAGATCAGTCTCCAGATTCAGACAGCCGTAGATCAGTCTCGTGCCATTCATGACCCCGAGTCGATGCCAAAAGTTCGGCCAAATACAACCTCAGGTTGATGCCAAAAGTTCGACCAAATGCAACCTCCAGCAGGCGTATTGCCCACGAACTCGAGCCATTCGCCATACCACAAACTTGTTGAAATTCATGCAGGAGCATTTTCCGAATGTGTAGGCCTACAAAGTTTCCGGCAAGGAAATTTTTTGGATACGTTTTAGCCCCCCTAAATATTCTTTAATTTTAGCTTAGATTTGCATTTGCGTAATAAGAGATGCAATCTGAAAACAATTAAAACGATCCACCAAGGAAAAGCAAATAAAACAAGTTATTGAGAACATGTAATCGACGGCTAAAAGGGGAACAAACAATGAACCAAAGTAGTGTTTGCAATCAAAATTAAGAAGAAACAATTTCGGTTCCGTCGAAAGAGGGCAAAACGGGAACAAAATCACATATACAATTCACTACAAACAACTTTGCGCTTCGGTTCCTAGGGGTTTAGTTTTTTAACTTTACAGGCTACATCTTTCGAAATTGGCAGCATTTTAAAACTTTGGCTTTCTCAGCTTCCCCAAACTTGAGTAGATTAATCCTAACAGAGAATACAATACCGCCTTTACGCAATCCATGACGAAATTCCAACAAGAAGCGGGCCAGTACCATGGATATAGCAATCGGAAGAACAGGCTTATGAGATGCCGCGGGTATCTGCCAACCTGCACCATAGACTCAGAGTTATGCTCCCACACATGCAAACAAGGCGGAATGCTCAGAATCGAGTCATGGGAAGACACTGGTAAGTCCTTGAATATGCATGTATAATCTATCTGAAGCCACGACAACCCATGATGACGCCTAAATGCATCATGTAAGGCTCTATAGATTATTCTATCTCAGAGTTAGTCATCAAATTATCAATAAAGATCTCCCCTTGGCAATAAAATAATCTATATAACGCACAATATTTAGGATAACTAAGATGATAACAGTACGATTGCACTAAATTTATCCAGTTTAACCAGAAAATTGTGATAGGTAATAATAATATACTCACAGGAAAAAGCAAATCTAATGCATCCCATGCCGCATGACGAACAGCTCTTGTAGGGTACATTGGACCTCCAGGAGAAGTGAAGCTATACAGACAAGCCTTTAACCTTGTGCTTGTGGCCATTCTCAGCTCCATTCCTTTTAAATTAGAAATACATTAAGCAGAACACAAAGCGACTGTAATTCCAGGTTCACATAATTCCTTAAATCTTAAACCTGAAAAAAACGGTTCGAATATTACCCTGGAGAACTTTTATGTATGAAAGGTAATGCAGCAATACTGGTTCCACCTTCAGTTTTTGAAGCTGACCAGTAAAGAAAATATGAACATATTAGATTGTTAATATATGAATATCAATGCAGTGTGTGAACAAAACTAAGCAAAAGTTCTGCTGCGGAGAGTGTTGCAAATTTGACCTGATCTGCTAGTTCAATAACAAAGAAGTCTGCTGAACTACCAATCAAAAAAGCGTTCGGAAAATGAGGAAATTCCCTTAAGAAGCTGTCGAGCTTGTCAACTGCATGAATCAACACATTACTGGACAAATTACAATTTCTTAATTCAAAGGCTGAAGATGCATTACCAGAAAACCCACCTGAGTTATAAAAAATTATAAACCTCGAGAGTAAAAGAAATAGATCTCGCTGGACCTGAGAATTAATGAAGAATTCTAAAGTTAATTTAAAAGTGTCTACATAGATATTGGTTGTTTAATCACTATCATGGCTAGAAGTTATCCACACCGAGTAAAAAAGTTCCCTGTCAAATTGGAAAGGGAATCTCTGACCTGTACAGGAATTTTATTTAACCGTTTGGGCTCCAAAGCAACATCCTCAAGCAGATACTGAAATAAAAGGTGGGTTAAACACAAAATGAAATAAATATTTCATAAAGTTCTTCAACAGAAGCATATAAATTTCAACTGTGAAATGGCTCTTACACAAAAGAGGGATTGGAATCGCCTTGCATTTGATTGAGTATCAATCCTGCATATTTGCACACAGTACCATTAATAAGTTTCCTAGACAGAACAGAAAGAAACAAATGAAACCTTGGATGGGGGAATTCCCATTTCAAATAAAAAAAGGAACATAATTCATAACCCTAAGTTGCCATTTTGTCAGCACATATGGATAGTAGCAGCAGCAGCCCAAAGAAAAAAAAAGTTGGGCAATGGGAACAAAGCAGACAGACCATTCCACATGTCCACAAGAGTAGCTTTGGTAGATACCATTAAACTCTTCATGTCATACCAGGTTCCTTAAAAAAAAAAGTCCATTTCTATCTTTGCTGCTTTTGAAATCGAAGACACGTAATTTATTTTCACAGAACAAGCAACACCTACCTAACATCACACTATGGAGGAACAAAAACATACATAAATATACAAGGACACGAGACAAGAGATTCTGTTTTTACATATTATTTCAACTATGGGAGTCCCGTTGAAAAGTGAATAAAAGGCACTACAAAATCAATAGACATGTCACAATACTGCAAAGCCATCTACAACCACTTGTAAGTCCAATGACTCCAATCAACCATTAAAAAACAACAAGCATGCACTTATATTCGTACCAGAAAACATTTGTTGCACCTTCAACAAGAGCAGATGAGTAACGAAGAAGTACTTCAGAGTTGTCAAGTTGAACCTCAAACAGCTGGCAAAACAACTATATTAAATCCTCTCGGCATCACAGTGGATTAACTAAGGCAACATAGTTAAGAAGTAAGAATCAGCTTCAAGTATGTGAACAAAAACTTCATTCATAGAATGTCTGAAGACCAACTGTGTCAATCATTTAAAATATAACTTGGTAATAAAGAATGTTGATAACTTCCAAATCAATTTCAATGAGTTTGACAACTTTTCAAGGCCATTCTACATACTTTTCCAGTTTAACAAATACAATTTACAGCGTTATGCTTCATCCACGTGATTTATAGGTGAAAGCTCCAAAAGTAAACAGAAACAATACGATTTTCTCAAAACAAATCACCAACCAGGAGAATTTTGTATCCAGAATGGTGACTTTAATATAGAAAGGAAAAGATCAATACACTGGGTGTGCGTTGACATACCCATTTGTGGAACAACAAGGCAAAAATATGAGATGCAAATGACTGGCTCCAAAGTTGGACAATCAAATCAAGGATGCGTTTTCCATTCTCAGGCACCCGAACATAGTGATCAGTGAGCACATCATAAAAGCAAAGCTGACCTTCAATGCCATCCTCAGCAGGAGAAATTGCATCCTCTTCCCTGCTGAGAATCATTTCTGACATGCAATGTGAATTCCAAAAATTAGAACACCAGTCATAAATATTGCATGTAACGCCTTACACTTGTAAACGACTTTCCACAACATACAAACTAGACCGCAATTAATCAATGAATAATCAATGTTCCTGTGAAGCACTTCTAGTTCCACGCGTATGTGGTAGTAAATACTCATTTGACATACATTATCAAGGTAGTAACGCAACGCAATGCAACTGTGCTCTTATAGTATTCTCATAATTCTTTCGATTGAACGTACTATCCTGCTAAATAAACCATTTTCAGCCGATCCTAAGTATCACTGCTAGTAGTTATATCATATCTAAAAAGTAAAAACTATACTTTAAAATGCTAACCAATTACAGGCTTACAGCAGTATCACTGAAAACATTTGAATGTCAATTCCGAAAACAGACAACTCCATGGAGAATTTCCACTCACCTTTGGCTCGCTCATCGATCTCCAAAGCTATGTCAGCAAACAACTCCTGCAACAAATTCCGCCGCTGCGACGGAGAAGCCAGCGCCTACAACACATTAAACACACAGAAACCTCTACCAAGTTAGGCCTGAATTTCCCTAATCCTTT